GGTAAGGTATTGCCCTTCGCCTGGCGGTCCTTACCACTTACCTGCCGAATCTCCCTTACTTTAACAAAGGCGTGGCCGCCTTATGTAAGTAGGAATTGTAGAATGTACATTAGGTATCAGATATACTTCTGAGCCGCTTTACAAAGTAAATTACGTAGAATGTAGAGCAGTCGCTCGGAGTAGTTCTGCTCTTGGAAATAACTTCGGCGGCGCATTATTTTGCAACTGGCAGCGTAATGCGTAATCGAAGGTGTTAATATTGCGCTTTACTAGTAGACTACATTGGTCATGATGACAATTTTGGTACCAAAAACTGAAAGAAAACATGGATTACCTTGTTAGGTGCTTACCTATTTTCCCAGTGGGCGGGCGCATGTAATGGACTTGAATTGATATGAAAAGTAATATATGTACATATGTATGTGGGTATATGAATAACGATCGCTTAAAATCGATCTCAAATTTTGTACAACGCTTTTATCAACTTGCAATGTTGTTTGTGATGACAGCTATAAAAGCTTTGCTTTGAAAAGTTCCTATAAAAACGCATAGTGCACATTTGAGAAGTAGATGTCGCCCTATGCACTACGTACGCTACAGCGGAAATGGACGACACGCCATTTCTTTAAATCAGCGTTGGGCAGAGAGAGCTTTTACTCTGCTCGCGCCTATACAAAATGTATAGAAAGTTTAAAAGCGCTTCGTCCGCGGGCAAGGCAGTGCTTATCAGTGCTTTAAATGAAATTAATTGGTGCTCGTATGTATGTACATCACTTATAGGCGCTGCCTTGCCCGCGGGTAAAGCTCTTTTAAGCTTACTATACATTTTGTATAGGCGCGAGCAGAGTAAAAGCTCTCTCTGCCCAACGCTGATGTACATACATATGTATATGCATGTGTATGCACCAATCTATTAATATCGTTGATTTATTTTAATATCTATTGCAAAATTTTTTACTGACAAGACTAAAGAGTAGAAACTAATAATTTTCAGTCCCATAGAATTTGTTTTGATAACTTTTGATTTTGAAATTTTAACAAAAGTCATAAACAATTTAGGAGATTGAAAATGAAAAGCGTGGGGCGCATCTAATAGACCAGATTTGATATGAAGGGTAATATATGTGTGTATGTGGATATATGAATAACGACCGCTTAAAATCGATCTCAAATTTGTACTTTCTCTGTAGAAATTTTAGGTTTATGTTATGTAGTTTGACTATTGTCAATCAAATCTAATGCTTTGTATTGCATGCGCCCCACGCTTTTCATTTTCAATCTCNAAAAAAAACTTTTTAATATACAACGCTTTTATAAATGGACTAAAAAGTAGAAAATAATACTTCTCAGTCCCATAGAATTTGTTTTGATAACTTTTGATTTTGAAATTTTAACAAAAGTCATAAACAATTTAGGAGATTGAAAATGAAAAGCGTGGGGCGCATCTAATAGACCAGATTTGATATGAAGGGTAATATATGTGTGTATGTGGATATATGAATAACGACCGCTTAAAATCGATCTCAAATTTGTACTTTCTCTGTAGAAATTTTAGGTTTATGTTATGTAGTTTGACTATTGTCAATCAAATCTAATGCTTTGTATTGCATGCGCCCCACGCTTTTCATTTTCAATCTCATAAATTGTTTATAATGACTTGCTAAAATCAAAATCAAAAGTTATCAAAACAAATTCTATGGGACTGAAAATTATTATTTTCTACTTTTTAGTCCATTTATAAAAGCGTTGGATATTAAAAAGTTTTTTTTTGTATTAATTATTTTGAAGTTACCTTCACTCAGTCTCAATTTGCGAACTTGAAATTCAATTATGTCTGCATCATTTTTACCAATGCAGGAAATTGGTCGAGTAGTGGCAAAATTGCTACATCAGTATCAGAAAGAACTTTATGTGGTGTAATAATTTCAAGATGTTTAATATCTTTTCGATTGAAATCGAATATTATTTTCATGTGCTAAATGCTATGATTTAAGTTTTGCTACCTTTCCATATTTTTGCCAGCCACTTTGATATTCGTCACCGAGTACTTAATTGAAATTAGCAAGAAACCGCGATATTTTTTGAAGCGTCCTTTGACAGATTAGCCATGCCATATTTGAAGATCAGTGGTAAGGCGAGTTCACACTTTTAGCAGGTGTTGCCAATCGGCCCTATGCTGAATATCGTCATCGTCATCGTCGACGATCAGCGCGTCAGTAACATGGCTGCCGATGGCCGTATCGTCACTTTTACTGACGATTACGATATTCAACATGGGGCGGAATATTCATCAATTAAATAGAAAAAATTGAAAACTCGAAAGTATTGCATGATAATAACCCTGGCCAAAGGCTTATGAAATGGACCATTTCCAAAACAATGGGACCAATGGACCAAACGAAAAGAAATGGACCAAATTTGGTCCATTTGGACCAAAACGGCAACCGTGCGTCCTACGTAGAGAGTTATTTTTTTTTTTTCTATGGAAAAATACTGATTGATTTATTCCAGCATACATGTTTGGCATATTTTTCTGTTTTTCGAGCATGTTTACCGGCTTAAAATAAATGGATTTTTTCATGCATATTTTTATCAGAGCTGCTTCTCAGTCATGACTAGCAACATTAATAGAGACTTAGGGCCTTATTCTGTATCACGAACTCTTGGCAGAACGAACGATTCGTCTGCAGACGACAACCTCTAATTGCGATTTTGAATTAATCGGTCGTCTTAGTCTTGCTTTTCATACTTTACGTTGCAATGGTCTCGGTTGCGTTCAAACCGGCTAAAATGATGCCGCTGGACTAGTTTTTGAAGCATTCCTCTGCAGACGAATCGTTCGTGTTGCCTATCGTTCGTGATACAGAATAAGGCTGTTAATTTTTTTGTCGCTGTCATGACTAACAAAAAATTATTTCAATCATTTAGCCCCCTGTCAAATGAATACATTATTCAAAAAGAATTACATTACCATGACGCAATAATGAAAGGAGTTGTACGTTGTGACAGCTCGAAATCGAACTACCTTAGGTCAATATTGTATTTTGGAAGTACAAGAAAAACTGGAATAAAAAAAGCCTTTTAGTTGAAAAACTACTAAATTGTATGCCTTCTCAACAGCGTTCCGATTATCAGAATAGGTATATATATGGCTTGGTAGTCTCATAAAGTTGTAGATAATTATAATAATAAAATTAGGCGTATTTTTATTCACAGGAATATGATAATATGCTTAAAATTTTCGAGCTGATGAATACCCAGCTAGAACAGTATGGCTTATATATTTCCTTTTATGAGCCGCATCACTAAGAAAATTATCCCTTATGAATTTGAAATGTGTCCCTTATATTGTACAGGCCAAATAGAGGAATTCATTTACGTGTAATCTTTTGCCCCCTCTTTCATATGGGCTTCTTGTGCGCATATATCAGGTTTGATAGCTGTTGACCATACCAATAATGCCTCATACTCAGTTTTACTAGATAAATTCGTGTTCTCGAAAAAAAAAAATTCACGATTCAAAAATCTGAGTATGGCCGCCAAATTCTTTTCTCAAAATTTTGAAAATTCTTTGTTTTTTGCCCTATATTTGCTTTGTATGGTATTTTCAACAAAATATAGGCCAAAAACGATAAATGTTCAAAATTTGGAGAAAAACGATTTTACAGATTTTTGGATCGTGAAATTTTTTTTCTCGGAGAACACGAATCGATCTAGTCAATCTGAGTATGAGGCATTATTGGTATGGCCAACAGCTATCAAACCTGATATAGTCGCACTAAGGTTTTTCTTGTGTTCCACAGTGTTATATAAGGGATACTTTGAGGAATCATATAAGGAATTATACATTACCCAAGTTCACGTATATCCAAGTTCGTGTCATACAGCAAGCATTGACTACTTTTTAATGTTTTATTTATTTGTTTTTGAAATTAACGACATATTTCAGAATTTATAATTAATACGTTGTGTTCATTTTAGTAAATCCACTTTTTTTTAATTGTACAAAATTTATTATATACATACAGTATCGGTCATATAAATAGCAACCCCATTTCAAAGTGATATTATTTCCCTCTCATGTTAATTTATTTATTTCTAAGAATTTGCAACAAAAGTAAAGTTGAATTTCTAACAAAACCCATATAAACCCAATTTTAAAACTTCGTAGAAAACTACAAAAAATACAAGTTTTCAACCTAAATTCAAACTTTTTTCTCAGAAGTGTTAGAATTTTTTTGAGCACTCAGTTTTATAGCCCCTTCAATTTTAGTCTAATTATATGTAAGTTTGNGTCTTCTATATAACGAAAACTTCGACCATATATCGATGGCTGAGTAGAAGATCGACCTATCTCGGCAGCCAGGTCGAAAACGCCCGATATCAGAAAGCTTTTCAACGCCCTATTTCAAAATTTGGCTGAAAAACGCCCTATTTTAGAATTTGATTGAAAATGCCCTATCTCAGAACTCGGTTCAAAACACCCTATCTCAGCTGACGATTCAAAAACGCCCTATCTTAGCACATTTTCGAAGTATTTTCATTTGAGATAGGACTTTTTTGAACCGAATAATAATAATAACATACTATATACATATGTATCTAGTTTCAATATAAAAAAATTTATGTAAACATCATTAATTGTGTATACATATCTAAGTCAATATATGTGATATACATGTACATACATCTACATATCGTCGTTTAAAGTACAAAACCGTGTATCTATAAAATGCAAAACAGCGTATAGAGATAATGCAAACCCACGTATGCGAGGTTGCATAAATTATTTTCTAGAGAGCAAAAACACTCATATTTCAAAATGGTTATCTTTTTGTTAAAAGCAATCGCATTTTTGGCTAGTATATTTCAGGAAGAATGGATTAGGATTGAGACAAGAACTTGTGTGAGCGAATCCAAGTTTTAGCAGCAAATGTCAGTTACGTGGTTTTGTACTTCAAGCGACGATATGTATGTTAACAGGAACGCAGCANTTACGCGGTTTTGTACTTTAAGCGACGATATGTATGTTAACAGGAACGCAGCAATCTAATACACGGGTGGAGCAGGAACGCAGCACAGCAGAAGCATACAAAAAATCTGCAAATAAATGGTGTTTTAGGTTTTTAACAAACAAAAATCTGGTTTCAACTTACTTCAACGCAAAGGCGCAACAGGAACGCAACACTATAAAACACGGGAAGAGCAATACACAGGCGGAGCAGGAACGCAGCACAGCAGAATCGTCCGAAAAATCTGCGAATAAATGGTTCATTAGGTTTTGAAATAACAAAGAGCTCAAATGGAATGGTTCATCAATAAAGTCAAAATAATATGTTGTAACTTACGTGTATTAGCTCTTAATCACAATACCAGCACAGGTCGGTCAGCGAAACACTAAGGAAATGACCTAATAAATGCAAAATTATAATTTATTTGTAAAATAATTCGGTTTTATTACAATACTTACCAAATTTCACGCAATTGGAAAACAAATGTCAGCGAATAAGAATAAAACGAACAACAAAAATTTNAAAATAATTCGGTTTTATTACAATACTTACCAAATTTCACGCAATTGGAAAACAAATGTCAGCGAATAAGAATAAAACGAACAACGAAAATTGAATCAATGTAGCTTGTTTAGAATTTTTTTCTAATATTTTGGGAAATGTTCAGTGAAAATAGCAAAGAAACAACACAGTTTCTCCTAAGGTAGTTCAAGATGGCGGATTAGAGCGAGAAGTTGCCGACGTATAACACCTTTCATTATTGCATCATGTTACATTACTTGAAACTAGAGCTCTAGATACCCGGGTATCGAGCAATGCGAGTAGCTCGATACTCACTCAAAACTCGTTCATTGCTCAACTGCTCAAATGTTTGTTCAAAATTTTCGAGTTTTTGAACAATTTCATAAACAAAAGAAAATTTGTAAATTGTATTTGTCAGCAGCTGCTTTCTAATTCATGTTAAATAAATTATATTATTAAATACCAATGTAACAATCTTTGCATTATATATCAATAATTTGAAAAATTTAAAAAGTCGCTACCAAAAATGTCAATATAATAAAAAAAAACATTGCTAAAATTACTCGAAAAACTCGAATTGCTCGAGCTCATGCTCGAAAATTTTCGAGTAATGAGCATTGAACAAGTGTGCGAGTACTCGCTGCTCATATACCCGGGCTGTTTGAAAATGTGCGAACAAAATCGAGAGCTCTACTTGAAACCTCTCAAACTTGTTTGCTTTTTCCATTTTTCCTAAAAACAAACAGTGGTATAAAACTCAATAACACTGTTGACAAAAATATTTGTTGCAAAATAAGTTACAATTAACAGTTATGAAATCACTAAAAACTGTTATAAATACACGCAAAAAAAATTCGAATAAAAGTTATTAAGTAATCTAAAGAATAAAAGTGGAGAAAGAAATTTTATTAGCAACTTTTTTAGTTCGAAGATATAAAATAGCGTTATATTTGCTCTTTACAATCATAGAGATATTTTCTTAATTTTTTTCCAATATGTATGTATTAATGATTTTGTATGTCTTTAGCCCAGAATTAGTCACCGCTTTATCGATTGCTGGTCGTTTAGACTTTAATCCATTAACTGATGAACTTACCGGATCGGATGGGAAGAAATTTAAACTGTCTGCTCCATTTGGCGATGAATTACCTTCTAAAGGATTTGACCCGGGAATGGATACTTTCGACGCACCACCGAAGGTATATTTTCATCATTATTAGTTAAATGTGTTTATGTAAGGGAATATTTCAGGATGGCGAAGCTGTGAAAGTAGAAGTGGATCCAAAGAGTCAGCGTCTTCAAATTTTAGAACCCTTTGATAAATGGAATGGTAAAGATTTGGTAGATATGACTGTCCTTATTAAAGTGAAAGGAAAATGCACAACAGACCATATATCCGCTGCTGGACCTTGGCTTAAATACAGAGGACATTTGGACAATATTTCAAACAACATGTTTATTGGGGCTATTAACTCGGAAAATAATGAAATGAATAAGGTTAAAAATCAGCGAACAGGTGAATGGGCAGGTGTTCCTGATGTTGCACGAGATTATAAGGCCAATGGAATAAAATGGGTTGCTGTCGGTGATGAAAACTACGGAGAGGGTTCATCTCGTGAGCACGCTGCGCTAGAACCACGTCACTTGGGTGGTCGAGCTATTATAGTTAAATCGTTTGCTCGCATTCACGAAACGAATTTAAAAAAACAAGGATTATTACCTTTAACATTCGCAAATCCTGCAGACTATGATAAGGTATATTTTAATTAATAGTACCAATTTAGAAGCGAACTCGATTTCCTTTTGTTACAGATACAACCTGAAAGCAAAATTTCCCTAATTGGATTAAATAGTTTAGTGCCTGGAAAGCCAGTTGATTGCGAAATCAAAACGGGCAACAAAGTCGAAAGGATTAAGCTGAACCATTCGTTAAATGATTTGCAAATTGGTTGGTTTAAGGCCGGCAGCGCACTCAACCGAATGAAGGAGCTCGCAGTAAATAAGTAAATTGAACTCGTGGAGTGACTACAAATAAATCTTTAGAAAAAAACTTTGAAATACATAAATATAAGGCACTACATATCTACACCAAATCAGCGTTTAGATATAAAGAAATACATATTTCTCAAAATCTTGGTATGCTTTATTAGTAAATCATATTCTCTATTGATTTTAGTTCGTTTCACATGAACATGGTTAAATACAATAATTTATGCAAGTGAAATTGGTTGTTGATTAATTTTCTTCAAAGGGTTTGCTGATGGGTGCTGGACAAACTCACAACCATATTTTGTGTATATGTTAAAGGCACAAAAGATTCACCTACACCGTAAAATAGGGCGCATGCGACTTAAAACACCAAATACGGTGCGGTACTCTAGCACGCCTCGACTGGCGCCGCTCCTCCAGAATTTTTAGCAGCTGCAATTGAATTTGGGCGCCTTCGCAATCACCACCACGACGCACACACAGACAACATTGACTTGACCATTGCCCTCATACGGGGGACAAAAAAAGTTCCGCGATATGAGAGGAAAAAGTCGAAATCTTCTACGGTTTTTCCCGTCATCTCCCTACATGCTTACTGTTGGTCGCCACCAACAAACATCAGTAACGCTGAATTTGAGCTCATCCTAATACTCATGTACTTGCGTATGTATGTATGTTGAATACTTTCAGAACTGGAGCGTCGGGTGTCCATACTAACGACATGGTCAAGCCAGCGCACCGCTGTATTTTAATTGCCTGCACTATGGCCATGTCCCAATGTATTTTGTATGGAAAACGTTTGCCGTAGATATTTACCTCGCATGAGTTTTTCAACAAGTATCGATTGACAGCGAGTCTAGCGTGCTTGCGATACTCATTTCATCGTTTGCTATACAAAATACATTGGGACAGAGAAAAAGTGTGAATAACTTTCGCCTCGATGCACAGTGGTTCGGATAGCAGATCTAGCCGGACGAAAGTCAAAATTTTTTTGTTTTTAAAATACTTAATGGTACTTGGAATACATTCAAATAGAAATTGCATTTATTAAAGCATTGTGTGCAAAGTGTGTTAAAACAGAAAAATACTTGGAGTTATAAAAACTTTGATTATGTAAGAGTTAAAAAAATAGTAACTCGCGAATTTTCTGCTTTCTGAAATTAAAAAACTATACAACAGGCATGCAAATCTTTAAGCGCTGTTATAAATTTTTTTCTGAAATTTATTTGTGTTTCTTGCTGTGATCTTAAATTTTAGTCATGGTAAAGAAAATCTTAAGAAGTGAGTTGTTTGACATTTTGGAGACAACAAGGTGTCCGTGATTATGTGATTAGTAAATTGAAAGAAATATCTCATGAAAATGCTCGTTCCGAAGTAAATAAAGTAAATGACTTTAGATTCGTAATCAGCAATCCAGGAAACCCCCAGATACCCAGTGTTATGTTTGAAAAGTGGCAGGATCGCCATGTTATGTTTGGTGTT